GGAATCACACGCAAATAGGGGGCCCTGGAGCTGAAGAACAGAGGGTAGTTAAACACTGGCCTAGAGAGGCTGTGAAATGTCCAGCCCTGAAGATATTCTAAACTTAAATGGACAAGTCTCTGAAAAACCTGCTCTAACTGACCACCCTTTGGGCAAGGGATGGCCTCCAAAGGTTCCCTCCAAAATAAAAGACTGTATGATTCCATAGTTATTATTGCTGGCAGCTTTGAACCTAAACCTCAATATAATATTTATTTAAAAAGATGTTTTAGCATTCATTCAAAGGTCTTGTAACAATTTTTTCCCTTTCATGTAACTTTTAATTGAGCTCATATATGTCATAGTATTTCACGTCTTGTTATACAGTTCAGTACAAAAGAGGTCTATTCCTATTACTAATACACCAATTAGTCTAATACTAAATGTATCATGATGTTATTTCTCAGGAAAACACTTCACAAGTATTTCACACACATGAAGACATATTTATTACCTGCTTCACTTCCATAACTTGTTGATTACAGGAAAAGCTATTTTTCTGCACATTATAAAGAATTTAGTATTTGCTGTAAAGTTAGAATGTTCACAGAAAATAACTAAAGATAGCCCCAAAACAAAATACAACCACACAAAGAACAGTTTGTTACACTGGCCTACCTAAAATATAAAAGATAAAAGGAAAGTACATTAGAATCTGCTGCAGTTCAGAATTCCTGAGTCACATCTATTACATGTTTCTTTCTTTCTGTAGGCTGGGTTACACATTGTATTACATAACTAATGAAGTGACATCCTTCTTTATTTCATTCCTAAAAACTGAAGTGTCTCAAGTCCCCAAACCAGGAGACCTGTAAGGAAATCCCCTGAAGTTCTCTTGAAGGGAAGATGAAGTTATTCATCTTTACTTCAGGCATATATAAACTTTATCTCTTTCCTAAGTCTGCTGTCTACTCTTCTTCCTATTACCTTCTGACTACAAGTTCTCTTTGTTTCTTTTTTGCTTCCTAGAAAAAAAAAAAGTGTGACACCTCTCACATAAAACAGAAGCTGCACTACAAGTTAAGGCCCTATCACTCCCCACCTTCAATGGCACCACCTGTTGTGATACATGGGTCTATGCCAGTGTATTTGGCATCACATACATGCAAGGCATTCAGATACTACAGTGTGAGTGGGCTATAAATAGACTGAAAGTCCTTTTCTCTATCTAGTAAGACAAGATAATTAAAATTCACCTGTGTAGAAACAATCACTGTATATTTGATCCAACAACAGAAAAGAGTGGCCCTGCTCTAGAACCATTGGCTGTTAGAATCAGCCCCAGTTTCCTAAATACTAGAACATAAGCCAGCAGCCCCTGTATTTCAAGTCCAAAGCCACAAACACAGCAGTTTATAACTTTAAAGAAGTAAATTCTTTTAATCCTGAGAAGGAGTTGCAGCTTTGTCCATAACATCTAGGCAAAGTTTCTTCCAGTTTCAGTTGTACACTTGCAAAGTTAGCATTTTTATCTGCTACAGACCTTTAACATCTGAATCAAGTGGACCATGAAGCAGGTTCTACAGACTACTGCAATAGTGCTAACTGCCCCAGCTGCTGGAAATTGGTATCTTTGACATGTGATAATAGAAAGACACTACTGGGAAGTCATTTATTAAAAAGTATGATCTGAACATAACTCTACAAAGTTAGAGTATGTAAATAGCTAGGTTTGATACAGAATTTTATCTGTCTCTTAACAAGACATTGCAGTAAGCATTTTCTCAACAAAACCCAAGGATATTATAGGATACGTAGTAACTGTGTAATCAATTTCACTTATAAGTTGCTTCATTTTAAATTAGCAGCTAAATTCTTTGATTTCATAAGAACAAAAAGGCAATGAAACCAGTGGGAAAGGGAAACATTTACAGAGGAAGGCTGGAATTTTTTTAAATCAGACTAAAAAATCTAAAGTAATCTGAATGAAGGTTACCTGAACAAACATTAGAAGTACATTAAGAAATAAGGAGGATTAATGTAAGAAGCAGAAGAAGAAAATAAAAAAAAAGATTCCTCACCTACAAACCAATTGCAGGTTGCTGATAAAGCACAGTATTAATTAATTTTTGTTTTTTGACAGGTCCACAAATGTTAAATACACTAAAAAATATACTTATGCTATATATTAAAAAGAGCAAAAGCTTTTTCAAATACCTAACTAAAAAGAAAAAT